TTKRRAAAAATCTGTAAACCTTGAAAAAAWGAATGAGATTGCTCTATGCRTCCGTRYACCTGCAAAATGAGGGAAAATCTGTGTAAATTAAGGACAATCCATACAACTTGACATKTATTCAGTTTATACACGTTTCTTTTTTGTTCTTGATGATAGATTTTACTCCTTTTTGTATCCATGCTCTGACATGTACCTTTTTATATTTTCTCTGATTTAAATTACAACTGTCACTTTAAAAAGGGGGTGAACATTTATACAGTCTAATTTTTTCATTTATTTTAATTTAATTGACATTACTTTGCAGAAATTTGATTTTACTTGGTCACTGATGTATTTTTTATTTTGAAAACGTTATCAAATAGGCCGATACATATTAACTTATTTATAATAGCAGTAAAAAGGTAAAACATCCAAGTCGGTGAATACTTTTCATGGACCTCTCTGTAGATCTGCCTTATAGAGATCAAATTGTTGCACCAACCTGAAGTGGATGATGTCTCTAACATACCCCTGCAAATTTTTTTGACAGATTGCGTTTGTCATAGGAATTGATCCAGCAGAGTGGAGTTTGAAACATCAACAGAGCGTCTGTCCAAAGTTTACAGTTTAGTCTTGTCAGTCTGCAGAGCCCAGAGAGACAGCTGAAAAGAATAACAGAAAGAGAAAGCTACAGTACTTGCAGAGTGAATCCTGACACAGTGAAAGGAACAGAGTGAAGGATGTGGCTTTATTCTAAATGACTGGTTGTTTCAAACAAAAACAGTCTGGTGTGTGTGTGATGTGTGTGATCCACAGGAACRGCCCTAATCTTTGCCTGCAGGACAGTCACTCCACTGGAAAAGCCTTGCTGTTGGAGGGGGAATCAGTTTTTTTTTTATCTTTGATACATCCCTAAGAGCTAGAAGACAACCTCCTGACCTGTTGTGGGYCTAACGGTGCAGCTCATGCCTCTTGGTGGCAAAGATCCAGATGCCTCTGGAGGTCCACTAAAGCCCACTTTGACTTTGTAAAAGATAAGGAGGCCTCAAGCTCTCAGGTCCTGCACAGAGATAGTCCCCAGAGCCCAGGAGTGATGTAGTGTTTTAACCACCATCTATGGAGATGTTTGAACCCTGGGAGTGTCTGAATGAATCCTGCTGGAACCAGCTCTCCTAATGTCAGTCTCTGAACTCATTTCACAAAATGAGTTTTTACAAAGATGGAGCATTTAAAGCCACTGGAGCCGTTACATGATTCGACAATCAGTCCCTTTATCATTTTGTTTTAGATTAAGAAAAGTTCCTGCCTGAATCAGAGAACGAGTTCTGGAAGTGAAAACTCCTCCTCTGCTCTTACATACCTAGATTATTGAGTACATGGTCACTTTGTCTCAGTGTTAGGCTGAAATGGTGCAATTTGCACTTTATCCAAGTTAACGTATAACTGCAAAATAATAAATGCATTTACTGTGCATAAATCTTATGCTGCAACAATTTTAGCTATTTGCTGATAAATAGTCTCATGTGGATATTAATGTGATAATCTGATTTAAGCTGGCTAAATTAGATTCATTCTGCAGTTTGATTTCCTTGAAAGTGATTTATTTTCATGTACTGAAGTTAATGTTTTTGCCCCTGTTGGTGTGTGCTCATGTTAGCAAAATAGCTCCTAAACCACTGGACGGATTTTAATAAAACTAAAACCAGTCAAAATGCATTAAGTGGATCAGTTTTTTGTCATTCAGATAAGTCTTGAGCTGTGTGAGTGCTCACTGATGCCACGCTGAGTCACCTCTGTTTGGTTTGTGAGAATAACCAACAGGAACTGATACGACAAGGCACGTGTGCGACCGAATGTTTTCTGTACTAAACAGACCGTATGTTTGATTGTTGGGAATCTTCAGAGCTTAAACTGTACAAAAAACGGTTTAAACTGGCAACACGTGATGCTTTTATTAAAGTCGATTCTCTCGTGGCCGTTCTAAATCGAGGTACAAACATTCAGGGATATACTTGACTATTTAACCACACAACTCTTATTTTCATTTTACATTTTTGAAAGTAATATTTGTCATGAGATGACAAGCTGAGTGAAAACTGAAAAGCTGTGTGTATAAATGGGGCTTGTGAGAAAGTAACTCTACTAAACCAGTTATCAGTTTTACAMAGCTTTATGTTTTAAAGTGATGATGATGAAGAGGATGACATGTCAGATTTGGAATATAACAGCATGTGAAACACTTCACAGCTGTTTCTTGGTCATTGATTGTGATATTAATTAATTAATGAGAGGGTGAAGAAGCCGTCAGGAGCAGCTGTTCACTGTGATGTTACAAACTGACCGACAAACTGTATCAGAGCAACATTTCTTTATCTTCATCACAGAAACAAACAAACAAACAAAGCAGCCCAGTATGGTTTCAGCTTCAGAAATAAACGTGGCCACAGTGTTAAGGAAGTAACTCTTCACTGTTAAACTCCTGGGTCTCAGTTTTTGGTTTCTAGTTTTCTCAGTGGCTGGTTGCCCTTCCCTTTTTTTCCAGCCACATAAACTTTTTTTTAAGATGGTCAAGAACACAGAAGCAGCAGTACAGATGTAACAAAAATATGCATTCAAATTTAAAAAKACAAATAAATAAAATGTTACAATCTTTACATTGTTACATGAATCAAAGGTAATCAGCATCCATTGCCAAGGATCCATAATTAAACAGAACCTGTCAATAAATCTAATTAAATTAGCATTTTCTTTTAGCAAAACTTGCTAATTCCTGTGTATATTGTTCAGTTTTTAGGCTGACTGCATTTTTTTAAATTAAATGATTTCTTTAGAGAATTTTAACAAACTGATCCTTTTAATTATTTTTAGGAAACTCTTGGAAACTAGGTTGTGAATGGTATCTAATTGAATCTAATAGATCAAATCACAGCTGAGTTTATGATTTTTACCTCTAATTTAACCCTTTGGCGTTCTGCTTTTTTTCTAACCAACAGGCTCTGTATAAGAAGGAGCACCGAGCTTGTGACAGTCCCGACGCTGAGGCCTCCTACGTCCTCCCACCGAGCACAGAGGAGAAATACAAAAAGATCAACGAGGAGTTCGACAACATGATGAAGAGTCATAAAATTGTAAAAGTTCTTGTTGGTTTTGTCGGCTCTTCGCATATTTTGTACTTGTGTAGCTGCGTAACGTTTGCTGCTCCCACCAGTCCACAGGTCAGCCGCAGCAGCACTTCATGCACTCAGCACCAGGCAGCACAGCCTACTGCCCTGGTGCAGGAGGAGGAGGAGGAGGAGGAGGAAGGGGAGGAGTGACCTCCCAGGCTTTAGCTGCAGCAACAGCAGTTCTGGCTGACAGCGGGCTCCTCTCCTCTCCTCACACATACACCCACAGAAACTCCTCACAAAGACTTCTCAACACTGGAAGCGCAGGTTTGTGTCTGCTGTAAGAAACATGTTCTAAACACAAGACCAGGAAAGTTCAGATACATTCATCTTTGTAAAAAACAAACAAACAAAAAAACAAAACTGGAACCAATATTATTTAAAAGAAAGGAGCTGCATGGTGGTGCTGATTGTTCTCACTGCTAGCTTCAAGCCAGAAGGTTGTGGGTTTGATTCCCAGCTGGAGCCCCTCTGCATGGTGTTTGCATACTCTTTCTGCACATGCATGGTTTTCCTTTGGGTACATACATGTTGGCGTAATTGTGAGTTTTGAATCAGTTGTGTTTAGTGTGTGTGGTTGTTTGTGTCTATGTAGCCATGGAATGGAYAGGAGGACATGTCCAATATGGACCCCAAGTGTCCCCTAATCTCAGGTGGAGAAAGGCGATGCTGAGATGATTGGGCATGTTGAAAATGGCTGAATGGATGTTCTAACAAGGCTTTAATAAGAACTTACTCAGATTTTTGCATGTTTTTTTTTTGTCTGATTATGTGAGTTTTATGAACGTAACAGAAACACTTGCACACTCTTTGGTTTCTGCAGCTGAAACCTGAAACTTTCACAGTTTTGAAAATTTCTTTGATGAAATGGAAAGTGTAAAAAAAACCACACACATAGTTAATACCACTTTTATCTTGTGTATTTATGCACAAAGCATGAAAAAAGAAATCCTCCCAACAAACCTGTGTGTGTTTATCCTCAGGTGGCCTGCAGGACAGTTCTAATCTGGCTCTGCACAATGGATCTGGAGCAGCTGGTATTTATCTTATAAACATGCTCTGACAGGTCAAAGAGATACTTTAACTTTTTGTTTGTGATCCCTTAAAACAAAGCCAAACAGCTTGAGTGTGTTGTCTTTGGATTTGTCCTGTTAACAAGCTGACATTGTTTTAAATTAGCAGTTTTATAAGTTAGTCTCAGGGTAGGGGGGCCGCGGATGGAGGTTAGTTTTGGGATTTTTGTTCTTCATTCAAACACTTGAGGTATTTTCTGCATAACAGAAAGTTATATTAAATCCCTTTCACCTTTATGCCTTTTTATTTATATTTGTTTTTTAACCCTTACTGTCCTTTAAAATCACCCCTCATGCTCCCCCTCCATGACGTGCTCTCATTATAATGTTCAGAGAGGATGTGTTTTTTTTTTGTTTAGCATAAAACAAAGCTGTTTTTGTCCATTTAGTTGTGTTATAAATGAGTTGATTTAATGGATCTATCACACGAGACATTTTAAAGCACTTTACATGTCGCTAAATATTTTTACTTTCTTGTGAATTTTTTTATTTTGTACAAAAGTCAACCCTTTTACAGATTCAGTCATCAAGCAGGGATTTTACTTTCATTGCCTCAAATCGTCTTGCTTTTCCTCCTTTCTGTGTTCAGTGAATGGATTTGTGGGTCTGAGTGCTGGAAGCAGCCTGGGGAAGATTTTGCCACCAAAATCTCCTCCTCTTCCTCTCCTCCATCAGGGGAACAGCTTGGTCCACGGCAGCCGAAAAGCCGACCTCCGAGTGCTCGTCCCTCACTCCAAAGGAACGATGCTGGTACGTGTGCTGTTCACGCTTTACCTTTTTAAAATTAATCTGGAAACTTGTGATAATCAGGTGACAATAAACCAGTCACCATTTTCTCACCTGCTTCAAGGTAGTGTTGGTTGAACAGTCAGGATAATAAAGGTCAAAACCAGGACTGTCTTTTAACTTCCTCACCACTCCTGTTTGTTGTAGCATATAAGACAAATGGATCTGTTGATGGAGTTTGAGCCTCAGAATTCAAATTGATTAAAAAACAGAGTATTTTATGATGAAATCAGACCTGAGGGGATCTGAGGAGGTCAGAAAATCCTTAGAACAACTGGTTTGCTACAATTTCAGACTGGTGATGTCAGTTTTACAGATGCAATAACTGCTCTTTCTGCCAGAAATGTCTGTTGAGTAGCTGAGGGTCATCTCCAACTGGTCCTCTAAGCCAGTAGTTCCCAAACTTTTTATCTTCTGACCCACAAAATATCCATGGCAAAAAC